TATATATATATAATTATCCCTTTAACTTACAATTTTAATGCATACTTTTAGATTATGTTATGAGTTATATATGAAAAGTGTTATTTAATGTAGAATTAATTTATCTATTTTATTATTTTTGTACTCTTTCAAAAATTAAAAATGAATTTAATCTAGTTTTAATTAATTAAGAAATTGGATACAAATAGTTAATATCTTGAATTCAAGATTAAATCGTTGGATAATACCTAAGTTTGATTTTCCACAAAAATAATTATTAGTCAAATTTTATTTACCTAACATTTAAAACATTGATGGAAAAAAATTAGCTTTAATTTAATTTGATTTTTATATCAAACTGGATCATGAAAGAATAGAATCAAAGTGATTCATGAATTAGATGCTTCCCCCAAAACCGGTACAATCCAATTCGCAAACATCCTATTTTTATATACTCGATGCCTTTTAGTAACCAATAGTGAATACTCAATTAGGTTATTAATTCCTTGGTTTCAATATGTTTTGGTGGCATATTAGGTATTCACCCACATGTACGAGTTACGTGTGACTCAAACCCCACATCTAATTTGGTGTCCATTATATGATTTCCACTAATAGATAGGAGGCGTAGCATGCACTAACTGCAATTAAAAACTATATTTCATGCATCATTCATTTTCTTATTCATAATCTTCCCATGCCATTTTCTAATGCAAGAGCACATTATAAAAACACATCTCATTCTATTCCTTCTTACCTTACCAACCCCTAAGCACATAATTAGCTTCTTTCTTTCTCTCTTCATCACCGGGAAAGATGGGAGTGAATGTTTATTTGGATACCATTTTGGTCCCTTTGAGTCTCTTCATCACAGTGGCTTACCATGCCTATCTTTGCCACACCATCAAGCACAAGCCTTCTCGTACAACTTATGGAATCGATAAGATGAGAAGGACAGCTTGGGGTCTCAACTTAAATCAGGTAATGATTCCATCTAATAACAAGTGAGACTTAAAATAAATTTTGAAAGAGATTTTTTTTCTTTAAATGAAAATGGTATATTTTAGGTTTTTTTTTAATATATCGTTTTTTTTTTATATATGTGAATAGAAAGATGTCCAATTTTTATCTCTATAAGAGTTAATTCATAGAAAAGAAGTTATATTCTCTTATTAAATTAATAAAATAAAAAAAGTATTGAATTTCCTTACCTAGACACATGAATATTTTGTATTTACAAACTTTTCATATAATGCTATAAGTTAGGATTGTTCTTTGATTATAATTAAAATTTTATTTCAATAATATGCATTATATTTAATAAAATTATTTATTGCACATATTAATAACTCTTAGTCTATTGGTGGAATAATATCAACTAAGTTTTGTTCTTTAATTGATATATGCATATATAAAGAGAGAGAGAATGTATAGTAGCACAACATTTTTAGTCTCTTATTCATGAATTGGGCAATTGGAGATTCTATGTTTCTTAGATTTGACTTGTGATGGAGCAGGGTGATGCCAGCAAAGCCATGTTGACAGTGCAAAGCTTGAGGAACACTCTTATGTCCACAATACTGACAGCTACCATAACCATTCTTATTAACTTGGCTTTGGCAGTTTTGACCAACAATGCCTACAGTGCTAGCCATCTGTTCAGCAGTGGGTTTTTTGGCTCAAAGTCAGATAAAATCATGCTTCTAAAGTATGGATCAGCCTCAATTTGTTTGGTGATGAGCTTCATATTCAGCTCCATGGCCATAGGGTTTCTGATTGATGCCAACTTTCTGATGAATGCTTATGGGGAGTTCCTGTCTGGGGGCTACACACAAACTATACTAGAAAAAGGGTTCACCTTGGCCCTTGTTGGTAATAGGGTGCTTTGTGTTGCTGTTGCTTTGATGCTATGGATGATGGGTCCCGTGCCAGTACTTTTAGCTTCCTTGGTGTTGGTTTTTGTGTTGCATGAGTTTGATTTTGTTTGCAAACTCCCACACAACCATAAGCAATGTATCATTGTAAAATAACCTACCTATAACAATATTTTTTTTTATCTACAGAATCAAACTCAATTATAAAGAAATTTATAATAAAGCAACCACATTGCTCAATTAAACACTAGTGCAAAAATTGGATTTAAAATCGGACTTTTAAGATCGGTTACAAGGTAACCGATCTTAAAAGTGACGCGGTGGCAAATTTGTAAATAACATGAACACTTTTAAGATCGGTTATAAAAGAATCGATCTTAAAAGTGGCACTTTTAAGATCGGTTATAGAATAACCGATCTTAAAAATACTTTTAAGATTGGTTATAAAAGAACCGATCTATCGATTATAAAATAACCGATCTTAAAAGTGCTACTTTTAAAATCGGTTATTTAAGAACCGAATTTAAAAGTGCTACTTTTAAAATCAGTTATTTCAGAACCGATTTTGTATGTAGTATACAAAATCGATTCTTCAATAACCGATTTTAAAAGTATGGTCAGAAATCTTTTATATTCCCCTCCATTCTCATTCTCTCTAATTTTTTCCTTCATTCCTTTTTTTAATCTGTGACGCTCTCATTTTCTAAAGTCTCCAATAAGGTAAATTTTGTTGTCGTTTTCGTTTTCATTTTCGTCTTCTCATGTTCTTGTTGTGTCTCTTTTCGTTTTTTCGTGCTTTTCTCGTCTCTATTTTCGTTGTAGGTTTTGGGTAAATTTCGAATCTGGAACGACCCGTTTTGCAAGGAGAATGGGCCGTTCTGCTAGGAGAACGGGCCGTTCTCCCTTGAGTACGGGGCGTTCTGCGAGGAGAACGGGCCGTGCTCCCTAGAGTACGGGCCATTCTGCGAGGAGAACGGGTCGTTCTCCCTTGAGAACGGGCCGTTCTCCAAGGAAAACATGCCGTTCTTCAAGGAGAACAGCCCGTACTGAAAAGTAATTTTTAGGCCTTTTGATTAGACTGGAACGACCCGTTTCAATTTAATTTTTTTCCCTAGCCGGACTTTTAAAATCGATTATTAAACAACCGATCTTAAAAGTTAACTTTCAAAATCGGTTGTTTAACCGATTTTAAAAGTCTAACTTTTAAAATCGGCTCTTTCAAAATCGGTTACAGAACCGATTTTAAAAGTTAAAAATAACCGCTTTTAAAAGTCTTTTTTCTACTAGTAAAATGAATTAAGTTAGTGAAAAAGTATTTAATTGAATAGCGTGCTTGACTTGTTATAAATTTCTTGTTAATTGAATTTGAAATGTATGATTTAACTACATCTTTTACTAATTAACTAATATGTGAGGAAGGATTTCTTTTTTTTAGTGAACGTGAAAGGAATTCTTTTTTAATCATTATACAATAATGACATTAGACTTTAAATTTAAATTATGTATATATTATTCTAATATTTCATTGAAAATAATTATTTATATTTTTCATATAATATTTTGTAGTTTAATTATGTTTTAGTCCTTCAAATATATATTCTTGATCCTCAACTTTAATACTTATGTTTTTAGTTCTCAAACTATAAAAAGATTATCATTTCAAATTTAAAATTTATCTTTTTAATTTCTGTAATTTTAAAATATTATCTTAGTCATTAATATTATAATTGATAGTGATAATAATAAATTTTTTATTTAAAAATTAAAAACAAAAATTTTAAATTCAAGGAATCATAACAATATATTTTTTAGATTTATATAAACTAAAAATATAAATTTTAAATTTGAAAAAATAAAAAGATATATACTTAAATTTTGATGATTAAAAACATATTTAACTACGTCTTACCATTATTATTTTTATCACAACATTTTTTTTTTACAAGTTATCACATCATTTATCATCTAATCTTATTACAGTACAGTTTTTTTCTTCTCTCTTATTTCGGTATCTCTCCTTTGTGTAAAATCATGAATGTATACATTTTATTGTATAACTAGCTTCTTCGGAAATAATTTCTTGGGTTGGGGCAAATAGGGCTTATGCTCTAATTTATGCCATTGTCAATTTGGGCCTATGTAGAATTATTGATGATTTGATAATAAAGTATAGGCTCATGATAAACACATCTCCACTCACCTATAAACACACTCCCCTTTTAAAAAAAAATATATAAAATGTCTAAATTACCCTTAAAAAAATAAAATTCTTAAATTTACACCTCATTTCCCGCACCCCTTCCCCTCACCCCCCTTCCCCTAACCCCACACCCTCTTTCTCCGCACCCCCACATTCATAAATATTAATCACAATTTCAAATTAGACCATCAATTTTTTTTTATTATAACAATGGCTAAGGATAACAATGGCTCTGGACGCGCTTCTGGCGAAAACGAGAATTGAGGCGAAGGACATTGATATTCTGGTGGTGAATTGCAGTTTGTTCAACCCTACCCCTTCTCTTTCGGCAATGATTGTGAAGCACTACAAGCTGAGGAGCAACATCAAGAGCTTCAACCTTGGGGGGATGGGATGCAACGCGGGGTTAATCTCGATTGACTTGGCGAAAGACCTTCTGAAAGCAAACCCTAACTCGTACGCGGTGGTGGTGAGCACGGTGAACATAACGCTGAATTGGTACATGGGGAAGGAGCGGTCGATGCTTCTGTGCAACTGCATTTTCCGCATGGGAGGGACAGCGGTGCTCTTATCGAACAAGGGGTGCGGGAAAAGGGAGTGTAAATTTAGGAATTTCATTTTTTTAAGGGTAATTTAGATATTTTATATATATTTTTTTAAAAAAAGGGTGTGTTTATACGAGAGTGGAGGTGTGTTTATCATCTGCCTAAAGTATATGGCACTAATCTGAAAGGCCCTAAAGCATAAATTCTTGTGGGATCATCCATCATTTATTATTATTTTTTTTTTTATGAAAGCCTATATAGTCCACTTGATTTCTTAATCACAAAGTACTATAATATATAGTCCACATGGTTTCTACATTTTAATATATAGAAAAAATAATTGCTTTTCCTTCAAAAATCACGGGTTGTTGTCATAATCACAAGATCTCTAGCTGGTTAGCGTTGGCTTGGCTGAAGTCATCCCGAGTTTCAAATCTATATACCATAAAATCAATGTAGTTTCTTATATTTATCATATAAATTTAATTTAATATTTATAGATAAAAATAAATAAATTAGTCTTTATATATGTAAAAGTTTTCAAATTAGTCTATGTCGTTTGGGTTCATAAGTTGGTAAATAAGGAAATTATAAAAGACTACAGCTTGGATAACATAATGATCCAAAGCAAATATCTCAAATCATTAGAAATTGTGTGCAAAACGACTAAACCCAAATGGCCCAATCTTGAAAAGTCTTCCTATTGTGTTAGAAAATAACTTAGACCCACCTTAAAAAAAAAACAACTTAGACCTAAGTCCAAAAACTAAACTCAATTTCAGTTATTTTTGGTTAATGTCTCGCAAAAATGGAACATTAAATCTCTATGATCCTAATAACTTAGACTTGGAATTGAAAGTTTTATGTACCAAAAAAAAAATATTATGGCTAATGAATTTCTTCGGTTCAAGGTCATGCAATTTTATATATGTCGACATGGGACTCAAATTAGTGTAATTAATTATCGATTGAAATCAAATTATTAAGCTAAGACAAACTACTGTTAATTGCCAGTCCCAAATTAAAGTGAAAAAATTAAAATCAAATCAATAAGAACACAATAAGAAAAAAAGTGGATGTTACCTAGTGACTAGTGAGAGTGAGCATGTGTTCTATCTATCATGAGTGAAAAGAAGGGGAAAAAAGGTAAGAAAAACAGTGAGAGTGAGGGAGAAAAGTTGTGGCTCCTATGGTGAGTGGTGGGGATATTGAAGTACCGAGTTACTTTTCTTCACCAAAGATTAATTTTGGACACACACATGACAATTGACAACATTTGAATGGATTTTCTTTATTTCTTGTCTATTTTTATAATTTTAAGTATGTCAATCATTAAAAATATTAACGTTTATTATGCACTTAAAATTAAAGTTATAGTAATCGACAATAAATAGACATAAAAAAGAGTAGAGTATATTGTCTTATATGAAACCCTAAAAGGCTTTTTAGGATGTGAGGAATGCAAAGGATTTGATCATGTGGACTTTTGGGCTATGTGTTGGCCTCACCCAAGACATGTTACTGTAATTACTTAAGTGCGTGGAAACGTGTTCTTCTTCAAAAGGGGTCTTCGTGGATAAGCTTTGATTTGTGCTTCGTATAATGGTAGATCTACAAATTTTAGATAATAAGAGCAATACTTATTTATATATTTATAGTATTAAAAATTTTACATATATAATTTTTAAAAGTATAAATATATATCATAATTATTTTTTTACATGTTTTTATATTTACAATTACAAGTAAAGATGAAAATAAATTAGGTTAGACAAAATTTTATTATAATTTAATAAATTTGAACCTAACTTTCTTTAAAAATATATATCCTAAGTATGACTTAATTATCTAGTAGACATTTTTTAAATGTTTGGTTAGAACTACAATCTTAAAGACTTACTTTATAATATTTTAACATTATTAAAAATATAACATAAATATGTTAAATTTTATAAAAATCAAGTTTAATTTATTTATGATATAAACATGTTTTTAATATCTAATATGTATTTTTAGATGATAATTCATTTTAATATATATTTTATAATAACAATTCTAAATAAAACATAAATCTTCAGATTCTTCATATTTTGAATTTTTTAATTAACATATACAATAAATAGAAAACACAAAAGGTAAATATCCATACTACAAATTTTATTTTATTAAAAATTAATTTTTTAATATATTACATTATATATGTGAATATATCTTCTCCAAATCTATATTTTATACATATAGTAATTTAAACATATATATTTATTTTATTAAAATATAATTTTTATTTTTTAAAATATATTATTTTTTAAAATAAAAAAATATGTATGTGTGAAATCTCAAGGATCCGTCAAGTTGGTAACACATACGAGTGATTCGTCTACATTGGAGCTCAGCTGGTTTCTTTTCCAAAAACGTATTCAAATTGGAGTTTATTTTCAAAAACAGCTACAATCGAAATATAAATATTTTTTTAGACACCATATTAATCGAAATATAGAAC